TCCCTGGGATGAAGCCTCTTGGTCGTGGTGAATAATCTTTTTGATTGTTGTTGAATTCGTTTGCCATTATTTTGTTGAGGATTTTTGCAATGTTCATTAAGGAGATTGGCCTATAGTTCTCCTTTTTGGAGGTGTCTTTGCCTGGTTTTGGGATAAGTGTAATACTGGCTTCATAAAATGTGTTTGGCAGTTTTCCTTCCCTTTCTATTTCGTGGAACAGTTTAAGGAGGGTTGGTATCAGTTCTTCTTTAAAGGTCTGATAGAATTCAGCAGAGAATCCATCAGGTCCTGGACTTTTCTTTTTGGGGAGACTCTTGATTGCTGCTTCAATTTCATTTTGTGTTATAGGTCTATTCAGGTGATTAATTTCCTCTTGGTTCAGTTTTGGATGATCATATGTATCTAGAAATCTGTCCATTTCTTTAAGATTTTCAAATTTATTTGAATATAGGTTCTCAAAGTAGTCTCTGATGATTTCCTGGACTTCCATGGTGTTGTTGTTATCTCCCTTTTGCATTCCTGATTCTACTAATTTGGGTTTTTTCTCTCCTCATTTTAGTCAGGTTTGCCAGGGGTCTATCGATCTTGTTTATTTTTTCAAAGAACCAACTTTTTGTTTCATTAATTCTTTGTATGGTTTTTTTGGTTTCTATTTCGTTGATTTCAGCTCTTATTTTTATTATTTCTCTCCTATTTGTTTTGGGATTTGCTTGTTCTTGTTTTTCTAGGAGTTTGAGATGTATCATTAGGTCATTGATTTGGGATCTTTCAGTCTTTTTAATATATGCACTCATGGCTATAAACTTTCCTCTCAGGACTGCCTTAGCTGTGTCCCATAGGTTCTGGTAGGTTGTGTTTTCATTTTCATTGACTTCCAGGAACTTTTTAATTTCCTCTTTTATTTCATCGATGATCCATTCTTCATTAAGTAATGAGTTATTTAGTTTCCAGCTGTTTGCATGTTTTTTGTCTTTACTTTTGTTGTTGAGTTCTACTTTTACTGCATTGTGATCAGATAGTATGCATGGTATCATTTCTATTTTCTTATATTTGCTGAGACTTGCTTTGTGCCCTAGGATATGATCTATTTTGGAGAAGGTTCCATGGGCTGCTGAGAAGAATGTATATTGTGTAGAGTTGGATGAAATGTTCTGCAGACATCAACTAGGTCCATTTGATCTATTGCATATTGTAGATCTTGGATTTCTTTATTGATTTTTGTTTGGATGACCTATCTATTGATGATAATGGGGTGTTAAAGTCTCCCACAACCACTGTGTTGGCGTTTATATATGCTTTTAGGTCTTTCAGGGTATGTTTGATGAAATTGGGTGCGTTGACATTGGGTGCATACAGGTTGATAATTATTATTTCCTTTTGGTCTATTTCCCCTTTTATTAGTATGGAATGTCCTTTTTATCTCATTTGATCAATGTAGGTTTGAAGTCTACTTTGTCAGAGATAAGTATTGCTACTCCTGCCTGTTTTCAGGGGCCATTGGCTTGGTAAATCTTCTTCCAGCCTTTCATCCTAAGCCTATGCTTATTTCTGTCGGTGAGATGGGTCTCCTGTAAGCAACAAATTGTTGGATCTTCCTTTTTAATCCATTTTGTCAAGCGGTGCCTTTTGATGGGTGAATTAAGTCCGTTAACATTAAGCGTTAGTACTGATAGGTATGTGGTGATTCCTGTCATTTAGTTGTCTTAGTTGTTTGAAGGTTTGATTGTGTGTACCTAAGTTGAGGTTACTCTCTACTGTCTTGCTTTTTCTTTTCCTGTGGTTTGGTGCTGCCTGTCTTTTCATGGTTAAGTTGGGTTTCACTTTCTGTGTGCAGAATCCCTTGCAGAATCTTTTGTAGTGGTGGCTTTGTGGTCACATATTGTTTTAGTTTCTGCTTATCATGGAAGACTTTTATTGCTCCATCTATTTTGAATGATAGTTTTGCTGGGTAGAGTATCCTGGGGTTGAAGTTATTTTCATTCAGTGCCCGGAAGATCTCACCCCACGCTCTTCTTGCTTTTAATGTTTCTGTTGAGAAGTCTGCTGTGATTTTGATGGGTTTACCTTTGTATGTTACTTGTTTTTTCTCTCTTACAGCCTTCAATATTCTTTCCTTAGTTTCTGAACTTGTTGTTTTAATGATGATATGTCGTGGGGTAGTTCTATTTTGATCTGGTCTGTTTGGTGTCCTGGAGGCCTCTTGCATCTGTATGGGAATATTTTTCTCTAGATTTGGGAAATTTTCCATTATTATTTTGTTGAATATATTACGCATTCCCTTCGCTTTCACCTCTTCTCCTTCTTCAATGCCCATGATTCTCAAGTTTGGTCTTTTGATGGAGTCGGTGAGTTCCTGCATTTTCTTTGCACAGGTCTTGAGATTCTGTCTTCTGTTTGTTCTATTCTGCTGGATTGGCCTTCCGTTTTGTTTTGCAGTTCTGTTTCGTTCTTTTTTCTGAGGTTTTCCATATCCTGGGTGGTTTCCTCTTTAATGTTGTCTATTTTTGTCCTGAGTTCATTTATCCATTTATTCATCGTGTTCTCTGTTTCACTTTGGTGTTTATACAGTGCTTCTATGGTTTCCTTTATTTCTTCTTTTGCTTTTTCAAATTCTCTATTTTTGTTGTCTTGGAATTTCTTGAGTGTCTCCTGTACATTTTGGTTGACCCTATCCAGTATCATCTCTATAAAATTCTCATTGAGTACCTGTAGTATGTCTTCTTTTAAATTAATTTTGTGGGCTTCATTGGGTCCTTTGGCATAGTTTATCTTCATTTTGTTGGAGTCTGGTTCTGAGTATCTGTTTTCTTCATTCCCCTCTGGTTCCTGTACTAATTTTTTGCTGTGGGGAAACTGGTTTTCCTGTTTTTTCTGTCTTCCCATCATTGTCTTTGGTGTTGTTACTGTCCCTGTACTGTGTGCAATTAAGTATTTTCTAGCTTGTAATAATAACAATGGTAATATTTAGAATGGAAGGGTGAGCCGAGATGGAAAGCTAGAAGTTAAAGAAAAGGGGAAAACAAATACACAGACAAAAAGGAGAGAGCAGAACAAGGTTTCAGACAAGAAAGTTTCAAAGGTATAAACAGGGAGCATTAGTGTACTAATTGACAGTAAGCTGAACAGACATTAGAGAGACAGAGAAAGGATTGAAAATTAAAGATAAAAAAATAAAAAATAAGTAAATGAAAGAAATATCTATATATAAAAATGAATTGAAATAAAATGGAAAATAGAAAATTAAAAAAAAAAACCCAAAAAACCAAAAAAGTCCAAGTTCAAATGCAATGAAGTTTCAGTCTTAATAATTTGGTTGTCTGTCTCGGTCTCCAATCCTGGAGATAGTGCCTCAGATGTTGTTCTGTAGTTGTCTCATCAAAGGGGATGCATAAAGTAGAACAAAACTACACACACACACACACACACACACACACACACACACAAAACCCCACCAGGTGTCCAAAGTTAAAATGCAATGCAGTTTCAGTAAGTTTTTCAGCTTGCCGGTGTAATTCAGTTGTTCTCTCATCAAGGGTAGGGAGAAAAAGAAAAAAAAGGGTCTGGAGACAGTTCTGAGAATGGTATCTGCAGCTGTAGCTTGTCTGCCCACTGCTGTCAGCCTGCTGTTGCTGGAGTCTTAATTTATGCAGATCTTTGGGGTGAGCTTAGCACTCACCTGGCCCTGTAGGCTTTGTTTGTTCAGAGTTCTCCTGTGCTGAGCCTGTGCTACAAGCTTTCCCCTTTCCAAGCACACTGGGGGAGGTGACACTGCACCCGAGTTGTCAGGCCTGCGTGTTTATTTACAGTTCATGTGGGAGGTGGGTCTTCCCTCCTCTCCTGTGGAGTTTTCCTCCCTCTGCCACTTTCACAAGCTTTCCTGCTCCTGATTACTGGGCGGTGCTGCTGGTCCTGCCATCCGCCATGTTTGTTTACAGTTCACGTGGGAAGTGGGTCTTCCCTCCTCTCCTGTGGAGTTTTCCTCCCTCTACCACTCTCACAAGCTTTCCCGCTCCTGGTTGCTGGGCGTGTACCCCCGCTCCTGCCAGAGCCTCTCCGCCTGCCCGGCTTGTTTATTTACAGTCCCGGGAAGGATTCCCTTCCCCCAATCTTCAGCGCTCAGGGTGCCCCACCCTCTTTCCCGTGTGTCTTTATTGTTCTTATTGCTTATTACTCAGTTTCTCTTTTTTCCCCTGGGTGGAGGTCAGTCTGTCCAGGGGGCTATGCTGCTCTGGCCCAGGCTTGTCTGTGGGGCTACGGTGGTACCGTGAAGCTCACCTGGTCCGCATCTTCCGAAGCTGTCTGGGCGCGGGCGACTGGTGGCCCCGGGGCCCTCCTGGTTTCTCTGTTTAACATGAAGTGGAGATTCTTTGCACTGGCTGGAGGTGTGGAGGGGTCAAAGTTATGCCTTTTCTCAGTGATTATGCCTGCAAAGTGTGTCTCCAGCGTCTCTCCAAGATTTCACTATAGGAGGCTCGCTTTCTGCTTCCTCCCTCTGGCTGCCATCTTGGAATCCTCTCCTTGTGTCTTCATGTGGTCTTCTCTCTGTAACTGGGTCTAACTGACTTTATTACCTCTTTAAAGACCCATTCTCCAAATACAGTCTTGTTCTCGGGTAGTGGGGCTTAGGTTTTCAACACCACCTGACAGCCTCACCTCCTCCTTCACCTGGTCCATTCTTAAAGGAGAGTGAATGTGATAAAATGAGTTAGACAGATCTGTGCTACAAAGAGCAAATTATCTTCCCTCTCTGAGTCTCATCTATAAAATGGAGATGGGAGGTCTTTGTTAAGGTTATAAACTGTGAGCAGCACCTGGCACATGGTTGCCATTCAATAAACCTAAGTTTCTCCCTCTTTTCTGTTTCTCTCAGAGACTGCTAACAAACTGTTGCCACCTGTAGCACAGCCACATTATATTTTGCTCTGGAATAATGTCATTGGTCCACCACCTTTATATATTGTGTATGTTCCATCAATTGATGTGTTGTTATTTCTCCAAAGTGAATTTGATAGAAAGCTCAAGCAATAATCTGCAAGTTTTCTCAGGACCTGACAGCTGGACTTCCTTATCCTCCACACCCCATGCCAGCATCCTGTCTGTGCCCCACACCAATGGACCAATCAATCCAGGGCCCAGGTAAGACCAACACCAGCACCTTGCTCATTGATGGTTTTGGGGATATGCTGTAGCACTAGGACTCAAGTGCATGCTTTTTTTCTAGGGTGACTCAGTGTAAGCTGTTGTCCTGACACTTGTAAACTGCTAGGAAGTGAAGGTGACAACAGGAGACAGGGTGGTGGGAAAGCACTTACTCAGTTTTACACATTTCTTTTGTAGCTGCAGCATTATAAACATATATTTGTATGTTTTTATATATATGATTTTAAAAATTGTTTTTATATTTATTCATATGTGTATACATTGTTTGGGCCACCTCTCCCCTCTGCCTCCCACCCTCTCCCCTCTGTCTCCCCACCTGCCTGGCTTCCAGGCAGAACCTGCTCTGCCCTCCTGTTCTCCAACTGTGTAACATTTTATATTTAAGAAGTAAAAGACATTGTGGGCTGGGATTAATGGTCTTGAACCAGTAACAAATAGATACTGATCAAAGGGCAAAAGTATAAGTATACAGTGAGAAGTCAAGATTCTTGATTGTCCATGCTGCCTTTTTAGGATGCTCCCCTTTTTAAAAGGGGACACATTGTGGGTACGTGGCTCTCAACCTTGGTAACAGGGCTTAGTGTAGTACATAGGACCCATGGTGTAATTCTCACACCAGAGACCTGCCTTTAGTTCTGACTTCTGGAAATCAGAACATTAGCATGGTGAAGGGAAAGAGAAGGCACCTTGGTGTCTGACAGATGTGAGTTTGAGTCCCAGCTCTACCTCTTATTCACTTTGTGACTTTGGGAAAATTTCTTAGCCTTATCAAGCTTCATCCTTCTTATTGATAACATAGAAATAATATGATCTACTCTGTAGCGCTATGGTGAGCATCAGAATAAGGAAATGCATTAAAAGGCTTTGAAAGCAGTAATGATTGTGTAAATGTCAGTCCTTACATTCAATACAGCTATGCAGAATTTTGAGATGGTCAGAAAGGAATTCAAAATTGAATGACAGGACTTGGGGAGAAATCAGAGGATTGTGATTTGTAGGTCTAGAAAAGGTAAGAGAATGTAATGGTCTTCGATCTGCAGCAGTGCTTCTCACACTTTGTGTGTTAGAATCACCTGGTGATGTTGTTAAAATGCAGGATCTGGTTAGTAGGTCTAGGATGGGACCCAGAATCTGCATTTCTCACAAGCTCTCAGGTATTGCTGGTGCTGCTGCTGCCCACAGGGGTTTAGAGCTCTCTTATGCACTGTGGCTGCCGAACACTGAAATACAGCTTGTCCAAACAGAACTTTGAAGACTTAGGATGAGACAAAGGATAAAAACACTCATTGATTTTTTATATAAATGCATCTTATAATGATAACATTTTGAATATTTTCAGTTATATAAAATATTAACCAGTCACTTTTTTTCCTTTTTCTAAATGTGGCTACTAGAAAATTTAAGCTTCCACATGGCTGGCATTTGTGACTCACATTTTATTTCTGTTCCATGGTGCTGGCCTAGCTACAGGAGCCAAGGGGAAAGAACTGATTTAGGTTAAGGTAGGAAGTGAGAAAGAGAATGAAGATGAAGGTCCCTGAGGAAATGAATAGTCATGTGCCAAGTTTTGTACTAGATCCTTATGCAAATCATCAAAGAACTCAAAGGTCTCTAAGACAGGTATTAAAATTCCTGCATGCCTGGTGAAATTAAAGCTCAGTGGCATCACACCTGCCTGAAGGTCACATGGTAGACAGAGTAACTGAGCTATGGGTTTCCCTCTGATCCAGGAGGCATCAGAAAAGTCTCTAGGGAATACTGTAGAAGAACCCCTTCTGGAGACAGAGTCCAGATTCACAGCAAGTGCATAGCTCAGACTATTGACAGGATGGGCTTCTGTAGGATTCAACTGGTCCAGAGAGGTCTGCCAGAACCTGAAGTATGGCACAGGATGGAGGGTGACATTGCTAACTCTGGTTTCCTTGTTGGTGTATTTAACCCATTCTTGACTCCATAAGGATTTTATTGGAGAAAAACAGATGTGTTCAGTAGTATTACTGAATAAAGAGTGAATTAGCAAGCAATGCAGTGACAGACAATGCAGAAACTTAGAAAGTCAGACTGCAGAGGCAACTGATGCTTAGAACATTGGGGGTGTTCTACTGTTCCAACAGCTGTCATGTGTTCTGAGTTCTGCGTTAACAGGCAAACTTTGCTGCACACTACAATTGACCAGGGGAGCTTTTAAGATTCCTGTTATCCAGATTGTATGCCAGAACAGAATTAAATCAGAATCTCCAGGGGAGGGGGTCAGGCATCAGTATTTAAAAAAAACTCAGTAAGTGATTCCAGTGTACAACCATGTTTGTAAATCAGCACTGTAAAAGTAGAGAAGTGAAGAAAGTGGTCCAGCTCCCAGCCTTTCTCCCAGGAACCATATATGACAGGAATGAAAGAATTAACAATTAACAGCCACCATTTACTGACAGCCGTGTGCTAGGGTGCCACACAATCACTTTTTAATTTAATCTCGACATCAGTCTCTGAGGTATGTAAAATTATCACTCTAATACTTGAACATAAAGAAACTGAGAATTAGAAATATTAACTAATTTGACCAACATCACAGAGCTAGGATTCACACCCAGGGCTTCTGATGGCAGTGTCCTAATTATTATGTCACCTTGCCTTCCTTGGCCAGGAAGACATCATACTCACACATTATGTAGTTCAAATATCTTCCTTTCACTATGCTACCCATTTTATATAGGCTCCAAGGGAGTCCCAGAAAAATGAAATGCTATGCTTAATATCAAATAACTTGTTAGTGACACGGTCAGCTCCAGGATCCAGGTCTCTGGACACTAATTTAATTTTTGTTCTACTGTAATTCACTGCTTCTCTTGCCTTTTCTATAGAAACAAGGCCAATATGTGTCATAGCTAAAAATATAGCCATGATCAGAAGCCTTCTCCTTCCCACTGCCCTCTCAGCACTGTATGTGTGCTTGTTGAGTGATGTTCCTTTGTCAGAGTGTCATCAAACATTCTCCCTCTCTGTCTCTGCAGCCCCTATCCATGCCTGTGGACCATCAGCAATGGAGGTGGGGGCCCTGCTGGATCAGGCCCAGAGGTGCATGCTGGCACCCCAGGAGCATTTCTTCTTGGTAACCCAGCTGTGACTTCGCCCTCCTCTGTACTTCCTACCCAAGCATCTACTTCATCTGGTGTGGAGGTCCTGGGGGAGCCCTCGCTAACCAGCATTGCTGTGTCCACCTGGACAGCAGTGGCCTCGCATCCTTTCCCAGGCTGGGGAGGCTCAGGTGGGGGTGGGCGCCATTCTCCCTCCTCTTTGGAGAGTTAGGCAGGATCCCAGGAGCCTCTATCAGCAGAGAACCTCTATGTACCCGATCTTCTGATTCTAGTGAGTCAGACTGTGGAGCCTCCTCACCCAGGAGGCTGGAGGGCAGGGTAAATTATTCCAGAAGTCCTTCTGGGAGGTAGTTTAGTTTGGATGATGGTAATTATGCCACTTGCAGTGCTCCACCATTTTCCTTGGCACTCCCATTTTTCTCTGAGCTTATCATTGCTATGCTTAGATGATAGAAATCTGCTGAGTACTTTCCCTATGTCCTGCCCCTTACCTTCCAGTGGTTCTGGAAAGCCTCACTTCTTTTCCCTGGGAGGTGGTGCATAGTTGTGAAGTGAACTTGAAGTTTATCTAGCAAGGCCAGTGCTTCCTAACTTTGCACAGGCCTGGAAATTATGTGTGTTTACAGAGCTCAGGCTAGCTTCTGCTTTGAGACCATGAGAGGGTGTGAGTCCATTTTAACAAAAATGATAAAGTTAATCATGTATTACTCACGATAGTGTGCTTGGAATGAGAAAATGTACTGTCTTGTTAAGATACCTCCAGTGGCTCACCATTGTCTAAGAATGAAGTCAGATCTTTTTCTTCTAAGGAGATTCTCCTTTCTGGCCTCCCACCACTTCTCTAGCCTTGGCTTCCTCTGTTAGCTCCTTATCATGACCTACTCCAGCCAAGGTAGACAACCATCTGTCCTCTTGCCCTCTTCACCCCTGGTATCTGAAGTGTCCTCCCTCCAGTCCCATCTGTGTGAATACCCACATGGCAGGGATTTGCCAAAAGACCACACGCTGCATTAATCACCTGAGGTAGCATATTGAATCTTTCTCTTTGCCCTGCTCTTCCACCATTTTTTCTTCAATCATAGAGGTCACCTCATTTTGCTTCATATTTTTGTTACCTGTGAGTGTATCTGTTTCCCTACTAGACTGTAAGCCTCTTGGGGTGAGGCCTAACTTTCCTCTCTTTGTGCCCACAGCACTAGGCACTGTGCCTTGCCTACCACAGGGGCCCAATAAACATTTGCTGAGTTGAATTGGTGTGACATGCTTGTGTATCAAAATGACAGTGTGGAGCTGGCTGGGAGACAGAGCTCTGAGCCCCATGTAACATGTTAGTGTGGAAGTCCAGGAACATGTTGGTGTTACCCTGGTCCTCATTGGAGGCACAATCCAGTCAATTCTCAGTGACTGAAAATACATGGATGCATGTCAAGGCCAAGCCATTATTCCCAAACACAGTTCCTTGGATCTCCTTTGCTGAGATCCAAGGACCTCCTAATAGAACATCCAGAATCCTGAGCACACCCCACACATTTTGGATCAGAATCTTTGGGGCTGAAGTTCAGGGATATGCATTTTAAGCAAATATTCTGAGCAACGGTTGCAGGGCCAGGTTTGGAACTGCTTGCCAGAACAAACAGAATGATGAATTCTCCAGGTATTCATCAGGTGACTTCATCCAGGTGACTTCAGGTGAGTTTCATTCTCTGCCCAGGCCAAGGTCATTGTTAAAATCAATAAGCAAGATCACTGTTTTGTTGGTTTTCTTTTTCCTTTTCTGCTCGCTGTGGGATGTGCTAATAACCCTGGGAGTGAGGTTTCTAGATCTGAGTGATGAGCAGAACATTGGACTGTTCTGTTAAGCAGCCCTTCTCTGGCTGTCACTGAGGGAATCTAGTCTCAGTGACTTCCACCATATTATATCAGTTGAACCTGGGCAAACCATCCATTCCAAGGTATAATCTCAGAAGTACAAACATGGCATAGTTGGATCCTTGATCCTTGGCTCTTTCTCTAGTGAAAAGCTTTACCACTGTAGCTAAGTAATGTTCCCTTTCTTTGGACTCATATCTCTGGAAATGATGCTACTTTAGGTACATGATGCCCTGGAAAGTCACATTACCCAACTCAGGGTTGCCTGGCTAGAGCTCTGGGCCACTAATTGGTGTGTGAATGACTAAGGCATATGGTATTCATATAACTAGTCTTTAAAAATGTTCTGGTCAGCATGCTCCCAAGGCAGTGATGTTCCTTGTTTCCTCATCTCTCTGTGATATCATTAGAGGCCAGTAAGATATTAACACATTAGCATCTTTGCAAGATGGTTTTTTAGCTTGATTTTTAAAAGTGGCTGTATCTCATTCTGTTAGAACCCTAGGCCATGGTGGCTTCCAGTTGTCTGGCAAAGACCTGTTTCCCAGTCACTGCAGTAGCCAGTCATGTGCTGAGTGCTTGACTCAACAGTGCAATGAAGTCATGAAAAGCCATCTTTAGCATCCCTTCCCGTACCTCCTCCCAGCATGAAGGAAACAGAAGACATGGTCCAGAGGCTCTGAACAGAAAACAAACAAACAAAAAACACCCATAATCTTCACTCCTTTTTTTGTTTTCCCATTTTTGTTGCTCAGGTGGACTTAGTCCTTTGCAGAGTAATAAAATGAGCTGTAGCAGAGTTTGGGGTGATTAAGTCTTGTCAGTTTTATGGAATGCTCAGCTTGGAATCTGTGATGATTCTTCCACACTCAGCATGATAATTGCCTCTGCATATAGGATCTCTATTTGGTGTTAGCTATTCATCCAGAGTGATTTACTTTCTGGCCTTTTCTGCAAATGGTCCAGGACTAATTTCTGATTAGAAGGAACAACATTAATTACTTAAATCCATTTAATAAATTACTGAATCTCTGATAAAGTTTTGGCATCTGTATACCATTTCCTTGCTCATGTATAGTCTTTATTCAGCTCATTATAAAACAAAGAAGGTGCCATTTCAGGTTTTTAGGTCTATACATTAAATTTAAGAGAAACCCAAATCTTACCAGCATAGGAAGAGTTATATAATTTTTCTAGCCAAATGGCAGACGTTTGAATATTCGCTAACACCTGGTCTATTTGACTGGTGTTCCCTGTGTCAGATCTTTGAGTTTGTACCTCATCAACTCTCCCCTCCTCAAGTGAGCCAGCCAGCCACCTTCTATCTACTATACTGGAACCAGGAACTTATAGGTGACTACTGACCTGCTTCATGTCACTCAGCAGGTACCCCTAGAGCTGGGAGGAAAGTGGAGGATGGTAATAGGAGGGCAGTGATATTCCCATCACATGAGTTATTAAGAAAAAGTCTCAGTAAAAGATGCCATTCCACCTTAAGACTAGACTAAACTTGGGTGAGTATCAGCAAGTTAAAATATTTCATTGTGAATATTGTGACTAATGTGAAATATTATATTGTGACTTTATAAAAGTCCAAGTTGGCTTTTGGGTATTCAAGGAGCCTTTCTTTTAACTTCTTCCTTTTGATTTTCTCCACCTAGTCCCGCCTTACTGGGCAGAGTTGGTGAACAGAGTATGAGACAGGATAATGAGTATGAGTAGGATAGGGATATGTGGGGCCACAGAAGCATAAGGGAAGAGCCTCTGTGGTTTGAAGATACCAAAACTTTTCCACCATCATTGCTGTGTAGATACCTATGATGTCTGTCCAGCACCCCAACCTTCCTCTGGAACTAGGACTCCCCACACACGCTTGGGGGAACTCCCTCCCACTTGTCTATATTAGGGACCTCCATGCTCCTACTTGATTGACCCTGCCCCTCTGAGCAGTTGGTTGGTTCAAAGGATTTCTTTCATTGTACCAAGGAGTCCCACTTACTATACAGGAAGAGCAAGAAGCCAGCATGGATAAATGCACACAGGCCTATTAATTCCAAGTTTCATTCTGTTAAAAGTGAAATATACTAAAAAATATAAAATATACTAAAAATGTCTCAAAATGGATGAAATGGAGTCAAAACTTGAGATTTATTGTAAACAAAATGGAATGGGGTACCCCTATGAAGACAGGAGGTTAAAAGCCATGGCAAAGTTGTGCTGTGGATGCCAGGGCTGCTGAGGACCCCCTTCCTGCCACATTCTCTATGGTTGCAGTCATTCACACAATGAAACAATGCCTGACCTTCTCCACCCTGCCAGTCTTTGGGGTCTACTGGGCACTGGCCTTCCTTGCAGTCAGCACCTGAGCAACCCTTGGCCTGTTGTGTATATTTCTTGAGTTTACAAACTTGTCTGAGGCATTACCCACACCTTGGACTGAAGGTCATGTTCTTCCTTTTCTGCAGCTAAAACTCCTTGCAACTCAAGGTGTCACCTGCCTGTATTTTGCAGGGCTTATACATGAATAGTCTCTGCAGACTGGACTGAGCATCCAACTTCAGCATATGATGTTTTAAATAGTTCATGTGTGCTTACAGAAAAACCACCAAAGTGTTGTCAAGCATAACAAAAGGTTTGAGATGAACGCAGTAGGTGAAGGTTTTCCCATTAAGGATCAAACATGATTCCTGCAGGTCTGTACCTAGAGAGTCTTTGTTAAGCCCAAGTCACTCTGCTAGATGCACAAATAGCATTCTCTCTGGTTGACTATTTCCCCAATGTGGCTGGAGCCTGATTACATGTGTTTAGTCATCTCCACATGCAGCTCATCTGCCTGGCAGTACTGCAGAGTAGCACAAGTACCATACCAAGAAAGGACTGAAAGGGAAGCCACCATTATCGTTAACAAAGTCAAACTCAGATCCTTCTCAGTTGGCCACACAGGGAGAATATTCTGGGGAGAGGGCAGGGTTAGATTTTGCAGCTCCTAGATTCCTGGGGAGCCTTTCAAAACCACCATGGCCTCTATCCTGCTGGGTTCTATCACTGGGTCTCAGATGTGGAGCTATGATCGCCTCATAGTGATGCACAGGTTAAGTTGTGAGGCCTTTTCTAGAGGCTTATAAATATAAATGGAAGCTAAATACAAAGGGATGCAAACATCTAGAAAATTTGGTTTTATCATCTATAATTTATTAACATTCTATTTAAAAATTGTTTCTTTGTATTGAGATAAAGCACTCAGTAAGTACACAAATCATAGGTATCCAGCTTGATAAAGATTTACATATACAGTATACCTGTGAACCCAAGAAAAGATCAAGATACAGAACATTTCTAGCACTCAGAAGGCTCCCCTGTACTCCTTCCCAGGAGATTTTTCTCCCAAGATCAACAACACTCTGTTTTCACTATCATTAGTCCAACCTGTTCTTGACCTTCACCTAAGTGGAATCAAATAATAAGGACCCACATGTCTGTGGCATAGATACCCATAATGGATATTTGAAGTCTTGATATTCAAACCAAGAGACTGATGCCCAGGAAAAAGTGGGAGTTTCCATTTTGAGGGTTCCCATCTTCTCTGGGTGACTGGCAGAGGGAGCATCACTTCCATTTTGTAGATCTTCACTCCCTCTATTTCTACATGACAATGGAATCAGAATGCAGTATTGTAAATCCAACCTCTGTACACTTCTAGGAGCAGAGAGTTGTTTTCTTATAAGGATTTTAGGAAGCATTTGCTGCACTCTGTTCACTTTACAGATGAGAAAACATTAACTTAACATTACCCATGAATGAGTAGGTCACAACTTATATGATAGGATTTGAAAACCATTGGTATAGGATTTTCAAGTTTTTATCTATTGGTCCCTGACTTACTCCATTCTATTTTGCCAATTTCTTTTTCTTTTGTGATGAGACAAAACATTTTGTAAATATAAATTTTGTCTGCAAAGAATCAACTTATTATTTACTTATTTAATATATAAATAATTTGCTATTTATCAGACAATATAAATTATATTATTTTTCTGGTAATTGAGTTGCCCAGAGAAGGATATCAGATAGATGAGTTTTACTGAGGTAAGGAGATGACCTCACCTAAATAGAACCTGGCTGGCATTTGGCAGCAGGGCAGAGAGGGGAGAGAATCAACAGGTATAGAAGGCATTTTAAAGCAATCATTTTTCCCAGGGATATTTCCCACTCACCTGTAGCAGGTGGTGATAGCAGGGAAGAACAGGAGCAGAAGTGGTAAAGGAGCAGTGGTCAGCTCCTAATTTCTAAATCACTGTGTGAGGACCCACTAGGTACTGTATCTGGAACTGGATGGGGGCGATACAGTGGGCCACCTTTGTTGTTGA